AGAAGTATATTAAATAGTAAGTTTGACTCTGTGTGTGTGTGTTCTGAAGTCCATAAGTGAAAAATAAGTTTACTTACCCATAAAAGTGCCAGATTTTCAAATGTTTAGAGGTTTGCTGAACAACATTTCTTATAAGATCTAGTAACCAAAATACACTGTATTCTCTGAGCTCCTGGTTAGTAATCAGAAACATGTTCCTAACTAGATCTTTTAAAATATTACTGAACTTCATGAAGTACAACTATGATTGCAATTAAGGAAAACTTCAATATGTGGAATTTATTTGTTTAAACTTATTTTGAAAAAATATGAATGCTTCAGGAACCTTCACTTTTTTACTTCTTCATATTATTTTCATATTTTGAGATAGCAGAGAACATTATATACTATAAGTATCAAAGGCTAGTAACTCAACAGTAATTCAATATTAGAAAATCTAGAGAGACTTTCAATTTAAAATAAGCTTCTTATTTTGTCTAATAGAGAAAAAATGAAAGAATTACTTAGCATATGCTTGAATCTAGCTATGGACATCACATTTTTCAGTAGAGTAGGTCATGCCTTTCCTCTATCTCAGAAAAAACTCTAATAACAATAGTAACACATGCAGAATACTAAAACTATCTTTAACCCTGAAGTATTCATTTTTTGCTCATTTGAAATCAGTAAAGTGCTCATTTTTAAAAGATTTCGATCATTAAGGAAAATTAAGTGTTCAATATCTATGGTCATCAGTCTTTAGAAAAAAATTATCTGGGAGTGACAGTAAATTGACATTAATTTTTAACGATGTGACATTTAAATAAATCCCAAGATATGTTAACTATGTCAAGACAGATCTTCTATTGAAGAAATAGGCCAAAGTAAATTGTTTATTTGAAAGACAATAGTTCTTTTTTATATGCTGAGTGTAAACTCTTAAGTACCTATTCTACAGGAAAACTGAACTTCAGATTTGACTATGAACAACAGTAACTAGATAGCCAAAGTGCTCTTAACTAACCAGTTCTCAGAGATACTTCTAAAGGGGTGGTAGCATTAAAGAAACTCTTGGTGAAATAGACCCTGGCCTCTCCTTCAAGGTTCTCACAATCACCATGGAAAACGAAGGTCTTGTAGGCAGTTCTGACCAGCTTGTGTAGTAGGGTTAAAGAACACATTTGGTAGAAAGCTTTCTTGTGTCTGGCCCAAGATGGCATTCATTTCCAGAACTGAGATAAAATGGTCAAAGCTGAGGAAGGTACCTGCAAATAAAATGCTTTACTTTCAGGAAGACCAAACAAGACCTTTCTGAGTATGGTTGGGCTTACCACCGGAAAGAACAATGAATAGTTCTGCCGCCTTACTAGTAACTTCATTGGGGAAACGTCGATTTCAGCCTTCCCAGCAGTCTATGACCCAGCCCCTCCTCCTCTTCCTTAGGGCTTTCATTGCAAGGATGGGTTCTGAACTTCGTTTTCATCCCAATCTTCCCCCGGTTTGCTAACTACCCTCTGCTTTGCACCTCCTATCAGGTGTTAGCAAACAAAAAACGAAAACACACAAAATGGGAAAAGGCTCAAAAACAGAGACAGAGGAAAGGGAGGGGGGATGGACAGCAAAGTTAGGCTGCCTAGCTAATACACAAGGTCTTTGGAGTTTTGATGCGATGTTTTTGCAAGGACTTTGGTTCCCTGGAGGGAATTACAAATTCTTATTTCCGAAGCTGTTGGCCGTTCTGACAGGCACAGCTTGAAACTGTTTTAAGTGGGACAATCCTGAAGGAAGAAGGATCCCCCCCCCCACTCCTCCCCTCACTGTAAACTATTTGGAAGTGCTCACTTGGATCTGCCTGGAGTCCGGGCTAGTGCTTCTCCACGACCCTCCCGTGAAGTCCCCAGAGCTGCCAAGTTTCAAGTGAAACCCAAATGGAAGTACTTTTCTCTCCTCATGCCTCGGGAAGTCTGGGGGCTCGGTTTGCATGCAGATGCTCCTCCTGGACTTCTGGCATCTTTGATTATCCACTCAGAGGGACAGAAAGCTATGAGCAAGCGGCGATGGCTTCAATGGAGACGTGTCCTGGACTTCAGTGGTGTTCCTTGGAGTATCTGTCCGCGGTGTCCCTTTGATTTGAGTGTCTTCTGAAAGAGTTTTTATGGTCCTGATCTCGAACTCGGATCTCACGCAGCAGCTCTCCCTTCTGCCGAGATCCCTGAAGCCTGGAGCCGACAACCGTCGTCGACCTGGATGGAGGCTGAGCCTGAGCGGCGGGAACTGCAACCCCAGCCTTGCTTCCTCGGACGCAAAGCATTCAGACGGGGTTCGCGGACTCCCAAACCTAAGACTAGACTAGGAGCTCGGGACCAGGGGATGAGGGAGCAGGAGCTGGAGGAAGGGAACTGAACAGAAAGGAGATGAGAGGCGTTCACATCTAAAGTATTCCACTCTTTTGAGTTTCTCGAACGAGGAGGCTCTGTGAGTCCTGATTACGCGTGGGTGCGGTGCGCGCATCTGGGGTGGGTGTGCTGGAGTCTGCGCGCCTTCGTGCACGGCCACAGGAAAGCCTAGCAAAGCTTATAGCTAGCAAAAGAAAAGAGAAAAATCGTCTTATCCTAGGACACTCACAGCAGGGGTGTTTATACCAAAAAGGCCCAGGAAGAACGCCTATCCTTTGCATTTGCGTGGGGCTCGGGTTGGTTCTCCATCCCCACTCCAGCGATATCCCACCCTGAAAGACCCCGGGGCACACTTCAGCTTCTTTTGTGCCACACCTCCTTTCTGCTTCACCCCCTCCCCCCAAGTACTGGTGACCTCCTTCATGGCCAGGCCTGGTTTTTAGGATGCCAGTCAGGAGCCCTTTTAGCTTTCAATACTAACATGTAATCCGCAGGGCTGACTTTTTTTCACAGGTCTGATGTTAGCGGATTCTATCACGGAAAGGTTCTTCTGAGAATCCTGGCTGAAGAAACTAATCACCCACCTACAATCTCGGGCACCGTGGAAGCCCACCTAGAACACAACTCAATAGCTCTCCAGATCAGATTTTTCCGGGTAGGATTAGCTCTAACGACTTTTCCCACGGCCATTAATAGCATCGGCCTGACCCCGGTGCCTCTTTTCTATCCCATCACCGCGGGACAGCGTGTGTATGTGGGGTGGGGACGGGACGAGGGGTTCCGACCAGCCAATTTCCTTCCCCCACGCCTCCCTCCGCAGGAAAGCCCCTGGAAGTTCGCTTTCCGCGGTTGGGTTCCCCACTGTCTCCCCTCCCCCCTTCTGCAACGCCCCCGCGCCTCCTCCGCCCCGGGATTCGCCGGCGCTACGCTGGCTTCTCCGCGCGCCCGGGGGTGAATCGGCTCTCGGAACACGTCCGCTCCGGATTCGGGAGGACTGAGAGCGGCTCGGCCGCCTGGATTAGGGTGTCGCCTGACTCTCCGGGTCTGGGCGGTGCGGCCGATCTCGTCACTGCAGCGAGGGCCGGGCTCACGGCCGCGCGCCCGCCGCCGCCGCCGCCGCCGCCGCCGCCGTCTCCATGCTGCAGCGGGGAGCGCCGTTCCTCCCGGCCAGGCGGCCGCCGTGGCACGGAAGCACTGTGGAGACGAGCGGGTCTCCAAGGCCTGCCGGGGCGGCGGCTGCAGCCTCGGAGCCCGGCTCCCCGCCCCGCGCCTAAAGCTGCAGACTCGCGCTGGCGACGCGGCCCGCGGGCGGGGCGCCTGGGGCGCTGTGTGGCGTGGTGCGCAGGGAGGCGGCGAGCGTGTGCGGAGCTGCCCGGAGCGGGCAGTGTGTGTGTGTGAGTGTGTGAGTGTGTGTGTGTGCAGGCTTGTGTGCGTGTCTGTGTGAGCGTGGTTTTCCTCCTTCCCCTGAGCCTGTGGAACGGCTTCGTAGCTAGCTGATCCCTTTAGGATTCTTGACTTTGGGGAGCTCCAGGCTATGAGCACAACCCACCCGTATAATTCGTTTAGCACGGTCGGTTATATCAAGGGAGGAAAAAAAATAAAATAAAATAAAGCGCACTGGACGGGGGTGGGGCCGCCTGAGGAAGCCTTCTGGAAATACACACGCAGAAGAGAGGAGGAATCCAAAGACCCGAGAAGACTTTCATTCCACCTCTGCTGACCCTCCGTTGCCTGGGCAAGATTGTGGATGTTTGCTACCGTTTCCAGCCGTCTTGGCGTCTCTCCGGGGGTTCGTTAGCCGCTTTCCTGCTAGCTGCGTGTGGATGTGCGTGTGTGTGTTGGTGCGCGTATGTTATGTGCGCGCGCCTATCTGATGCATTTGACTGTCTTTTTATCCAACTGCCCAGAAGCCAATGTGTGAACTCTCCGTGCTCCGCTTCCCCGGGAGCGCCAGGGACGCCCAGACGCCTTTTCCCGGTTGGATTTAGAGCCAACGAGAGGCTGAGGACCCAGGTGTGTGGATCACTTTAGCCACACATTGGAAAGCCGCGGTATTAACTCGATTCCTGGTACACGGCAAGGTCAAGAGGGGGCTTGCAGATGGTCCTGTGTGCGTGCATCTAGACTTTGCTGTCTCGGCAGGAAGGATACGAAAGTTCAGCCCTTCGAGCTGGAGCTGGTTTACTATACAGACAAGGTAATGAGGATTGCTTTTCAAACTGCTTAAAGAAAAACAAACAAACAAAAAGCCTACAAAACCCTGACGTGTGTACAGCCTTTTCCGGGCTTCCTACTCCTTACCAAAATGTCACCAGCTCTCGAATTACGAGGATTTGGTTTGGAGGAGAACTTGAAGGAAACGTGATCGCAGGGCCAGGAGAAAAGGAGACGCCGTTCTTTGCTGCGGGTGGGCTTAAGAAGTCGGTTTGGAGAAGGACCCGGACCCTCCTTGTTTCTCCCTCCTGGAGCAGTGTTGCCTGTGCAAGTGTGAGTGTGCGCGCGCCCGTTGAGTGTGTGCGAGTGTGTGTGAGTGTGCAAGTGCGCGGCCGTCCTGCCTCTGCCCGCTCCCCGGGCGCAGAGCTGCGGGTTTCATGGGGCGATCCGCGCCGATCCCGCACCCAGCGCGACCTGCAGGCAGTGGCGGCAGTGGCAGGAGCCACCTCTCCGACTCCCTAGGATGCGGGTGCTGAGCTATGGCAAAGGGCAGCGAAGTGACGAGCGAGACACGCGCACGACTGTGAAAGCCACCTGGAGCCACCTTGCCGGGATTGTACCTGCGGGCAGAAAGTCCTCCTACGACCGTCTTTTCCCCTAGTGGCACCAGGTAACAAGCAAACGCCTACTCCCTCACCCAGTTTCCTTTTGGTCTTGTTTCTAGTGTCTTATCTGCATTGCAGGCTACTTTACTTATTAATGTTTGAAAATCATTAAGAAGGGCTTGGGTATCCAAAGACGCCTGCTCTGTGTGTTGTGGTAAATACAATGTCTAGTACATGGAATATAAATCTATACCTGAGCTCTCTTAATCTAGTAAAGTGAAATCTAAACGAATATGGACATGCTCCACCCTATATATATATATATATATATATATATATATATATATATGTATGTATGTATGTATGTATTTGGAGCTAGGCTTGTTGAACCTGTCTGAAGGTGTCAGAGATTAAAATTTCGTGTTTGCTTTAGGCTGTGGTTGCCACCGATCATTCGGTTTTCAGTCCTCCCTGATTGTACACTGAGAAAAGTGAGTGTTTGGTTTCCACCCATTATTTCTGCCAGAGATCATTTTTGATCCCTCTTTACCTGCCTCTTGGTGCCATGATATTTTTTCCTCCCTTTTCCTTGCTGTGGACAAGCTTGCAAAAATCGTTTTAGTAGTTGCAAATTACTATGCATTGGAAGACTTAGAAATGGAGTTTTCTTGGAACTTGCTTAGCATGGAAGGGAATTCATTGTTAAGGGTGTGTGTTGAGATCTATGGTGTTAACTGCAGGGGCTTGATTTTATGGTAGCTGAATAAATCCATGAGAGAAGTCATTTTTATATCTAGAAAAATGAGGCCAGATCCTTAACCAGACCCCCCCCCCCAGCTGAATTATTAGATTGTGGAGAGGGGCTGGTGATTGCGTTTTTGTTCTTTCTGTGTAATAGGCATTTTGCAATTACTTTCCAGTGCTTTGATTTACCAGGAGCAGGTTGGGTTTGTGACTGCCTAATTAGCATACTGGGTCTGATATGTTAAAATGGAGATTCCTGGACCTGTTCATTGAACTTCCAGACCTCCTTTCCTCTTCCATCTGATTTCTTTCTTTTCTTTCCTCATCTCCTCCGCTGTCCTTCCCCTGCGGAAAATTTCACCCCCTTCTGGAGGGCATTAGAATTAACAAGATAAAGCTCTTCCAAAGTAGTCTCATCAATGTTTTATTACATAGTGAAGACCATCTGAATAATTCAGCTAAGGAGTGCTCATTTGTCTCCCTCCTTGGGGGAGCTGCCTGCTGGCAGTACTCAGAGGAGGTTTGGCTCTGTGGATCTGGCCATGATGTACTTCCAGGAGGCAGAGACCAGGGTTGTTCTGGCCGGGTGGGGGAAGTATAGGGGTGCTGCCTGATTTCCTTCCACTAGCGGTGTTTCTATAGATACCCATAGGATGGCATTTACAGTCTATGAGCTGACCAGTTGCTGCTCTAGTTGTCCCTACAAGCTGATATCCCCAACTCCTTCTCTGGAGTCTGGGCTCAGCTGCTGCAGCAGCCCTTGCAGGCTGGTGGTGCTACAAGGCCATGTATGCAGCAAGCTTTGGGGGCTGGGCTCTGCCACAGCAGCTGTGAGGTCGGCTTTGACACTTTCTTAGGGTGGGGCTGGAGAGCTCGACGGGAGCCCCCTAGCAGACAACAGGCAAAGAATGGCCAAGGTGGTAGCCTGGATGTGAGAAAAAAGGCAGTGGGAGAGGCACTGGAAGGCTCTCTGTGGTGTCTGATTGCCTTTGCGTGCACAGCCCCGTTCCCCACCCCAGCCTTCTCCCATGTGAATACTCAAAAACACGGCTCTAAGAAGGTCTTGATATTTAAATACTACACGGTTAAATGTATAGTTTCTTACATTTCCATTTGTTCTTTCTCTTCTTTCCTCATGCTCTTCTGAGTTTGATAAAGACATCCATGCCCTTCCTTGCTTTGCCTTCTTTTAGAATGCTACTATAATATCAACTAATCTAACATACCCTAGTTCATATTTACTAAGCACGAAGAGAGGAAAGCCATTATACAGGCAGGTTTATGTGTAACTTTCAACTCTAAGGAAGGACAGCAAGGGGAACTCAACTTGAATAGAAAAGCAGGTCCACCCTTTACCCTCAGAAGACATAGCAAAAAAAAAAAAAAAAAAAAATAGGATTGCCTGCATGGAAAAGTATAGATAAACTAAATAAACTAAGAAAGAAAAAAAAAAACCTGGGGATTTGGGAAGAATTTGAAAACAATTTTTTTCATCTATTTTCTTTTCTTCTTTTTCTTTTTAGTGAGACCAAGTACAACTCCTCTATCACTTAAAAAATCCTAGAGAGAGCTGACTAGTGTGTGCTTAAGCATCTGACAAGGACATACCTTTATCTCCTAAATTTACCCAGAATATTATGACAACGGAAATTATGCCATCTTCTTATCCCACCAATAGGTTCACAAGTAAGTCCTACCTCCTAAAGGGTGACCAAATAAAAGAAAGCTGGTGAAGATAGATAGATAGTGAATTAGTGAATATGGCTACTTGGAAAATACCACTCTGCGTGTCTCTTTCCTCCCTCTCTCTTTTTTTTTAGTATTGTTTCTGTTTTTTTTGTTTTTGTTTTTTTTTTGCAAGTTAATTCTTGTCTTTGTCAAAACAAAACCATTAAACCTGATGTTGAATGCTCAAAACCTAAACAGAGATTAGGATGTGATTCAAGTTTAACATTGTGATTCATTGATGAGATTGGAATTAGGTTAAATGCCAGAACCCAATATAGCTCCTAGAACAAGGTATCATGTATATATTTCCAAATGAAAATAAATGTTTCTCTCTCTCTTGTTTTCTCACTTGTCTGGAGAAATGGAGAAGATTCTACAGACAGGAATCTATGTCTCTAGTTTGGCAAGATCCACAGACAGAACTGGTCTAGCTCACTGACGGGTTGTCAGCCAGGTATGGATAGGAAATGTCCTAGAGAAATCCTCCTCTCTTGTAAGCTTTCTTTGGTCACTATTAATAGGAAAAGCATAAGAGAAATGTTAGGATACCCCTGGGAAAAGATATGAACAGATAGGAAGAAAGTAATTATCATTTGATTCTCATCCCCTAAATTAATTTACTCATTTTTTTTTCCTTTTCTGTTTTGAACAGAATGACCTTGAGCAACACCAGGACATTGAGCTTCATACCCCTCTTTTCTTCCTTTAAAAAATGTAATAATTCCCAGGCAGTTCTGTTTTGAAATACAACATTAAGGTGCTGGTTCATTTAGGGAGGAGTTCATCAGTGTGTATCACTGGTACTCTTGCCAGCCAGAGATAATTTCTTCTCTTTTTCTCAAGAGAGAGAGTAAGAGCTGTAGTCATCTGAGGGAGAATTGCCCCACCCTTGTTTCTTCTTCTATTATTTTCATATCCTAGGTCACTAAATAGATTCTTGATGTTAAAGCAGAATCTGGTTATGACTTTGGTGTTTCAGTGACCATCCAGTGTTATGTCTACCTTTAATCTTTTCATGACTGAGTACATTTCCCTTTGCCCATTTAAACCAGAGCTCTGTTTCCTCTTGCTGCTTGAAGCACTTTTGGCAGGGTAGTTTTGCTGAGTTTACTAGCTGGTGAAATTAGGTTCTTGCTTTCTGCTGATACTATTGCTGTGTTATGTGCTGTGCTATGTGGAAGGGATACTTGAAACCATCTAACAATGTTCCTAACTGGATATGAAGACACTACAGAACAACTACTCAGTTTTTTAAATCAAAAATACATTGATAATAAATAGTATGGCTAGTCAGTATTTTGGCCAGTGTTGAGGCCAGAGGAAGAAATCTACTTGAAATTTTGGAAAGACTTAGCTAACTGGTTGCTTTTATTACAATGATTTTACTTTTTGATTGCTTGGAAAAGCAACATATTGGCAGCATACGTAGGTTTTTCTTTTTCTTTTGCATGGCATAATTACTTGTAAGTTTTCTGTTATATCCAGGTTAAAGATTCAGATTTAGGCCTCATAGATGTGAGAGTGACTCCCTAGCAGACATAACTAATGGGTAATCCTGCTGATTCACCTCAGTGACTTGTGTGTATACCTCTACCTTGTTCCAGATGCCTTGAAAATGAGTCTGTAGATTCTGTTTCTAAAGCTCACATTTTCATTCCTGTGGCATCCTTCAATCATTGAGGACTATTTAGAGCCCAAAGCAATATAATTGGTCCATTACATGGTGTGTGCATGATGAAATTAGGAAGTATTATGTTTATAATTATTGAAGCTATTTTGATTAGAGGTAAAGCATTTATATTATACTCTATCACTATAAATTATATGGCATTATGAAACTTCCAGTAAGTAAAAGGGGAGATGGAAGGATTTGATTCAGATATAGCTGATACTACTTATGAAGTAGGGAGATTGGGTCTGGCCAGTGCCATGTTGGCCACATGGTGGATGGTAGGGAGGGTCTGGTATCACGTTCATGGTGGGAGAAGGTGAAACCCACTGCCTCTCAGGTGATGGGCGTGCCTGAATCCCTGGAGGCAGGGGTGTGAACTTGGATGATAGGTTACTAAATGTGTCAGTCCAGTGCCTGGGGCTGGGAGTTTCACGTGACCTTGGCCCCCTGACATGACCCTGTGTAGGCTCAGACCAGCTCAGGCGCCATTATGCCATGCCATGCCACGTGCCTCCATGTTCCAGCTCTCCATTGGAGCTGAATTGGTCTGGTATTATTATTTCTCTTCTTTCTTTCCTCCCTGGCCTTCATGGCTCAGTTTCCTAACAGTGTTAAGTGTATTTTCTGGTTGCTGATCTTTGAGACAGGATTCTACCATGCAAGAGCCAGCCTTTCAATTCGACCTTTCAAAATGTGGTTTTTCCATTTTTCTCTACATACAATTGTAAGCTTTTAAAAAAAAATCAAGATGGTGTGATAGATATGGTTCTGATAAAATGTTTTTACTGAACTATATCATCATTTATCATTAATTATAAAGATGTTTAACAAGTGAAAGCAAACTTTCACTTGTTGGAATTATAGTTACATGTAAGTGTGTGTGTGTGAAAGAGAGAGAAAGAGAGAGAGGAAAAGAGAGTA